CTTTTTTTTTTTTTTTTTTTTTGTCTTTTGTCTTTTTCCGTGCCCGGCAACGGATCGCAACCCTCAGTGTTGCCCCCGCACCGGACCGGGGACCGGCAACGGGATTGCAACCCCCGGTGCCGCTCCCACGCCTTGCTCAGCCAGTGAGCGGGAACCGGTCTGTATGTGGGATCCGAACCCTTGGGCGGGAGCACCGCCGCGCTTCCCAAGCGGCGCACTATCCAGTGCGCCACCGGGCCGGCCTGGGAGAGGGAATCTTGAAGCAGCACCACGCTTCAAGGGTTTGCTTAACCTACTAATCAAATGCTTTGTTGGCTTCAGGTCCTTTGTTGGAAAGATTTTCTTCATTTGGGTTACACAGATAACGATATTAATATCCAGGATTGAAGAAAATTTTATTTCTTCAGGTGTACTAATTTCATTATAAAAAGGCCTTTGAGGAGAAAGGAATTGTTCCAGAGTTTGCAGCTCGAAAGCAGAGTGAGGCCGCCAGTCTGGGTCCCCATTCAGAGGGAGATACTTTTCTGAATGTTTTGAGTCAATTTTAAACCTCCTCGGTGTGCCTGTAAATAGGAAGCATCATGGCATCCGGCCTCAGTCTTTTCATTCTCCTCTTTGCTGTTCACGTGAGGTTGTAAGACCTTCCTGGTCTCGTCCTGTTTAGCAAAGCTGCTGTCTTTTCGAGGGCTTGTTGATGGGAAGGAGATGGGTCATGGGGCAGCTGACCTGAAACTGCCTCAGTGTACCCCCCAAAGTTCCCAAAATACATGTGTATATTGGAAAGATGGGTGGGATTATAGGTACGGTGTTTTCATAGAGCCACTAACTCAGTGTCTCCTGATAGACCTTGGTCCTGTGGGGGGTTCCCACCTACTTCCAACTCTAACATACTAGAGCCCTGAGACTCTAGGAGGGGCGAGGTGCCATGCAGGGCCGGGTCTGCATGGGTTGACTGTGTAAACAGTGGGGGAGGCGCCTGGTGAGCGCCAGATCTGGCCGGAGTCCCCCGTGGTTCCCACACTGAGACCCAGGATCCTTACGGAAGCCTTCGCTAACTATTCTCAAATGTCAGAAGAGGTTAGCAGGGAAGGCGATCTTCAGTTATCTGGTCTGCCCCCTGAGAAGTAATGCATTTTGTGTCACAGAATTTTAGTCTTGAGTGGACTGTGCCGAACTTAAGTCTTTTTAACTGTACATTTAAACTGTACAGTTCGATTGAGCTTCATCTATTGTATACACCTATGTCACCATCACCACAAATAAAGATGCAGAACATTCTGTCATCCCCAAAGCTTGCTTTCTGGTGGGACACTTAAAACTCAGTGCAAAATTGTGAAAAATTTTGCTTTTTTCTCCTTTTTCTGGGTAGGTGTTACCTGCCTATTGGTAGTTTCAGACCACTTTTTAATTTACCTTTAAGGATTAATGCTCGGTTGATTTGTGTTCGTGGGTGGCTGCAGTGTGTGTTCGTGTTTTGTGCATGTTTGGGGGGCCTGTCTTAGCTGTGTGAGTCAGATGGTGGCTGGGGGTTAGTGCCGCTGGCTGCCTTCTTCCTGCTGTTCCCCAGGTTTCTGTTTGGTTTGTTATATTCTCTCTTCCGCCCCTAGGCCGTTGGCATCCACTGTGAATGATAAGCTGGAGCTGCAGGAGTGTCTGGAGCATGGCAGAATAGCCAAGGTCAGCCCAGCGTCCAAGACCTCTGCTGGGGGGCAGGGAAAAGGGCAGGATGAGGTGGAACAGTGGCCAGTGCTGGGTCCTGCTGCCCCTAAGGGCCCTGTGGGCACAGCCAGTGTGAAGTTACAACGTAAGAGGAGGTGGTGCAGGTCATGCAGCCAGTCAGCCAGAGAGCAGGCCTGGGTCTGGTGGCCTTCACCAAGGAGTCCTTACCAAGGGCCTTGGACCTGTTGGCTCTCTCTCTTTTTTTTAATTTTTCTTTTAAAAATTTTTTGGCCAGGACCTATTTCAGAAGCCTTCAGAGCAGAGCAGGCCTCCTATGATGTGGAAACTGCATTTATCTCTGGAGAAATCTGGAGTGAGTGCATGGGGCGTTAGGTTCTGTGTCAGCAGCTTTCAGGGTTCAGGACTGCTGGCACCCTAGAGGGCCTGTTTGAGCTTCAGAGTAATTTGGCATCCTACATCTCTGAAAGAACCAGTTCTTTAGAAGACTTAGGAAGCATAGTGGCTAGAGCTGCTACCTCTCAAGTCTTGGGTTGGCTAGATTAGACTAAGGATGACTAGGTGATCTCAAAGTAGGAAAAAAGCAGGGCTGTGGGGTCTGGAGGCTCATGACTGGCAAACCCGGCCCACTTGGAGCCGTACCCCAGCCCCCTGGATAGACCGGGCCTTGTCAGTGTCGGGCAAGTGCCTGGCACACGCGATAGGCGTGTAGTCAGTGTGTGGGTTGAATGAGTGTGTGTTCATTCCTCTTTTCTCTTCTTCTAGTTCAGCAAAGTGAGGACCATTACTACTAGGTCAAACTCCATAAAGCAGGGCAAAGACCAGCATTTCCCCGTCTTCATGAATGAGAAAGAAGACATCCTATGGTGCACTGAAATGGAAAGGTACCCACGTCGATGCCCTGGCGGCATGGGTGTGATGTGTTCTGATCTCACGCTTGAGGGAGAGTTCTCTGCCTCTCCCAGCCAGGCCTGTGTTTCCCACAAATGCCATGTGAGCTGTGGGTTTCACCAAGCATTTCCCAACACGACAGACTCCGGGGGGGGGACTCCTGGCCAGCCACCCTCCTGTGCATTTTAAGGCTGGTCCCAAAGTAAGAGGACTGTAGGAATAAATCCACATGCCCTGGCCCCTAGAGACCCTGCTGTACCCCAAAGAAATACTGCAGCTACAGGAGCTCCCCTAACTTGTGGTGCCAATTTTGTAGGTGTTTTGTGAACCAAGACAGCATAGGAGCAGGCCAGCCTTCCAGCCTGAGCACCGTGATTTGGTGCAAACTGGACCCATGGGGCTGGATTACTACCTCCCCATTCTCTGGGTGCGCCTAGGACTTAGCCACACAGAGGCAATTTACACAAACAACCAGAGCAAACAGGAAGTCCTTGAACTTCTGAAGTCAGGCAAGAGTTCAGCTCGTTTTTAGTTTTCTCCCCTCTTGCGGGGTAGGACACTAGGAGTGTATATTTATGACGTAGAGACTTGTGGATCTAAGTTTCCTGTGGAGGGGAACGTAGAGCGTGTCCTGGAGGTGTTTTTTGAGGTATTTTTCAAAGTACTGACTTTGTTTCTGCTGTGTTGTAAGTCTCTAGGCACTAGCACAGTGCCTGGCACATCGTGGGTGATCGAGTGGTTGAACTGGTTGTGAAGGACAGAGGCTCAGCAGAGCTAAGCATGCGTCCGGGGGTGTGGGGGCCCCCATGGCTCCCGGGTACTTCGGGCAGCTTCTGGTCACCTGGTCCTGGCCTGGCCAGTGCTCACCCCACCCCTTCTGCCTTCTCTCCCCCAGGGTGTTCGGCTTCCCTGTCCACTATACTGACGTTTCCAACATGAGCCGTTTGGCGAGGCAGAGACTGCTGGGCCGGTCGTGGAGCGTGCCAGTCATCCGCCACCTCTTCGCTCCGCTGAAGGAATATTTTGCTTGTGTGTAAGGGACATGGGGGCAAACTGAGGTAGTGACACAAAGTTAAACAAAAAAAACCACAAAACACAATAAAACACCAAGAACGTGAGGATGGAGAGAAGTACCAGCACCCAGAAGAGAAAAAGGAATTTAAAAACCACGGAGGCGGAAACACCGGAGGGCTTTGCCTTGCAAAAAGGGTTGGACATCATCTCCTGATTTTTCAATGTTAATCTTTAGTCCTATTTAAAAACGAAATGAAACCAAGCCCCTTCCCCTCCCCGTTTTTTTTTTTTTTTTTTTTTTTTTTTTTTTTTTTTTTTTTTTTTTTTTTTTTTAAAACTTTCTAAATCTCATAAAAACTTTGTTTTCTACTCTTTCCAGAGGGGTTTTCTGTTTGTTTGGGTTTATTTCTTGCTGTGACTGAAACAAGAGGGTTATTGCAGCAAAAACCATTGGTTAAAAAATAGTAACAATACCTTGGAGAGGAAAGATGGGAGAGAGGAAAAAAGGAAATTCTATAGAAATCTATATATTGTTTTTTTTTTTTTTTTTTTTTTTTACTATGTATCTTTTTGTTGTCTCTAGCCTGATCAGATAGGAGCACAAGCAGGGGACAGAAAACAGAGAGACACTCAGGTGGCAGAATTCCCTCCCAGCCACTGAGCTGTCTTGCCAGCACCATTCCTGGTCATGCAAAACAGAACCCAACTAGCAGCAGGGAGACAAGAATTCCACACAAGACACTTTTCTACAGTATTTCAGGTGCCTACCACACAGGAAACCTTGAAGAAAATCAGTTTCTAGAAGCCGCTGTTACCTCTTGTTTACAGTTTATATATATATGATAGATATGAGATATATATATAAAAGGTACTGTTAACTACTGTACAACCCGACTTCATAATGGTGCTTTAAAACAGCGAGATGAGTAAAAACATCAGCTTCCACGTTGCCTTATGTGCAAAGGGTTTTAACCAAGGATGGAGAGAGGGAGACAGCTGAAGATGACGTGTTATCCGGGTGGGTTTTCCCCTTGGTGTTTAACAAGGTGGAGGAGGAGAATTTGGGAGCAGTGTTCTCCCGTTTCTCCCTGCCAAAAAGGGGGTAAGATGGGGTGGTTGGGACCGTGGAAAGCTGAGTGGACTTCATCCAGACTCATGCAATAACCTTTTGATTTTTTTTTCCTAAAAAGGAGACTCCCTTGGCGAGGTGGCAGGGTCAGGAGTCTTAATGCCCAATTTCTCACCTTAGCAGATTCGAGGGCTCCTTGTGGTGGGATCAGAAATAATCCAGAGTGTGGGAAAGTGACAGTTAAAAACCCCACCTGGAGCAAATAAAAAAACATACAAAACGTACTGGTGCTTTCCTGTCTAAGTCGCCTTTTGTGTGTTCTTTTATGAGGCCCCCACCATCCACCCCTCTGTGCATAAGGCGGCTCCCAGCCCCTGGAATGTGATGTTTTTGGTCATCTCCAAAGGCTGCAGTTTTATACTGGGAGGCTGATGACACCTTTTATTATAGTTATTCTTATGGTTCTGGTTATAATTATGTTTGTTTTAAGATTTTCTTTAAGAAAATGAAAACCCAACACCCTTCCCTTTAGGTTTCAAACCAAGGTGCGGGGGGCGGGGGAGCAGGGTGCTTCTAAGTTAAGCGGTGGCTCTGGTGCCCTGGCTCCCCACCCTTCGGGCCAGGTGGGCCACTGGGCTTGGTGACAGCAGGGCGGCCGGGGTGTCCCCAGGGTCTGCCTTCCGGGCTCGTCACTCTTCTCTTCTACTTCCCCTCCTCTTGAGTCGGGTGTGTCAGGGCTGGAGGGAGGACCGGGCAGGCTCTCTCCTTGTGTGCGTGATTGGAGTGGTGTGTATTTCTTTTCTAGTACTTGGTCTGATGATAGCTGTGCTCTTACCTCGAGTCAGCAGCACCTGGAGCCCCAAGCGCTTGACACTTTGTTCTGCTTCCTACCAGGGCTGCAGGCAGGCAGCCTGATGGCAGTAGGGAGGGACAGCGTTGTTGGCTCCAGGGTGAGGGCCCGACGGGCAGACGCTTGCCTGGGTAGATGGGGTGTAGATATGTGGCATATAGAGATTTATATTTTATAATGGGAGGGGGGATGGCACCTCCTGGGACTGGCAGAGCTGGGAGGTGTGCCAGCAAGCACATGGTCCCAAGTCCGCATCCCTAGAAAGATGGGGCCTATGGGGATAGGCGCTATATAAATACATAGATAGGGTCATGTATAAGAAATATTATGGAGTGGGGAGTGGGGGAAGTGGGCTCAGTATGCTGAGCCTGGATCCCCACTGCAGACGTAAGCCCCACGCCAATCAATCAATCTCACACACATACACAGGAACCTATTTCTATACTGGTGCATAACAAATGCACCCTTCACACCCACACACATGCACGCACACACGCCTGGGAGCTCCCAGTGCTCTTCTCCCCAGGGTTCAGGACTTTGTGGAGTCAGCCCGTGCAGCTATTTACCTCTGTTGCCCTGATTGCAGGTAGACTGTCAATCCCAGAAGTTGCTAGGTGCTGAAGGCGGGAAAAGGAGGAGGTTTTATTTTAGCAGGTGCTCTCCTCTAGCAGGTAGTATTCTATCTCTTTTGCCCCTGGTGATGTCAAAAGATTCTTCTGTTAGCAACCTGTGATACTGACCTGCAACTCTAGGCACCAGGAAGTCAGCCCTCACCTCCCCCTACCTATTCTCCCCCAATTAAAATCAAATTGACATCCAGGTCTGTCTTGGCCAGGGGGCTTCCAATTGGGGAAAAAAAAAAATGGGACAATGAAACTCACATTTTGAATAAAGCAAATTAGTAATTTGTGACAAAACTAAACCAAGGCTTTGAATCCCTTGCTCATTGCTCAGGAGTAAGCTCACAGCTGGGGGCTCCTTTTTGGGGTGCTTAGTGCTCAACAGATTAGTTCTTAAGATCACACCCCGTTGCTTCCTGCCATCTCAGTGACATTGTCAGGAGGTGACTGGGTGTCCATGGGGCTGGAGCCGCTAGGAGAGGGGGCAACCTCTGCCCCCTCATTGGAGTCCTTGTGCTAACTGTGGTGCTTACCCATCCCCTCCTTGTTCCAGCTGGGCTCCAATCTTCTGGCCTGGAGTCCACCAGCACCACTCCAGGAGGGCTGGGGGAGGAGGGCTGCCTCTGGCAGTCCAAGGTGCTCCCTCCCCCGCTGGCCAGCGCTAAGGTCTTCCCAGTGTTAGGCCTTCCTCTGCCAGCGCTTCTGGCTCTCCCACGCCCCTTGTCCACTGCGTACGTGAAGGAGTTAGACTTTCCCCGTGGCCACAGCTCCACCTTAGCTGGGCCTGGTGCTCCACCTGAGGAGTTGATGTGGGGTCTTAGTGGTCAGGGATGTGGCAGGCTGAGGGATTAATGCGGGCGGCCAGCTTGCATAGAGAGGGAATGCCAGGGGCAGGAGAGGCCTCACTGTTGTGGCTGGCTACTTGGGAGCACATGTCCCTCCCGGTCTAGCACCTGACGAGGCCTCAGAGTGGACCCGATGCCCTATGGGTTGCGGGACCCATAGGTGAGCATTAATCACCAGCTTTTCTTCCAGCTTAACCTGTGAGTTTGGTCCCCCAGTAGAACTTGGTAGAGTGTAGGGGACCTAACTTGGCCACGCTGGGATGTACTTAATCCATTCCCAGCCCTGAGGAGGATTCTGGGCACAGGCATTGGGTCACCTTCCAAAGAAGAGCTATGCTTCAACAGGCTGAGGCAGGGTCATGTGAGGATGAAGGCAGGGGACCGTTAGGCTTGTAGATGAGGCTGAGGGTAGGGACATTGGAGTGGGAGAAACCAAGAAGGCCTAGGGAAAATCCCCAAGTATGTTCCCTGTGGGATTTTCTTTCCAAAGAGCAGGCTATTTCCCCCTGGAAACAAGGGTTCTAGGGGCTGAGGGTGACAGACTCTGTGCTGCAGGTGCCAAGTGGAACGTGGTGCCAAAGAGATCCGTGGCTCTTGTCTGGGGGAGGTTGTCGGGTGCTAGTACCAGAGTCACACAGCCCTTGGCCCCCTGCCTGAGGAGGCAGCTGGTTTCCAGTGGGCGGCTGATGCTAACCCCCTTCCCTGTGGGACCTCCTGGTCTGTGCACAGGCAGCCTGGGGAGCAATAGGCCAGGGAGCCGGCAGGGGAGAACTAGATGGGGTCTTGCAGTTGGCAGATGATGACATGAGCCTGTTGCTGCATCTGTTTTTCTCTCTAGACCCCACAGCCTTCTTGCTATTGAGCATCCTAGTAGAAAGCAAACTTCCCCAAAGAGAGTCCTGGACCTCTTAGCTTTTGAAACAGACCTGGTTGGCTGCTGGAGATGCCCATGTGATTTTTGGCGAGTTGCTAGGACATGAATTGGGACCCAGCAGGAAGGAAGGCTGACACTGAAGGGATCTATTGGGCCCAGCTCCCCTCATGCCCACTTACTTAGCAGCCACGAGGCTGGGACAACTGAGGAAGCTAGACGGGGATAACCCACCATCTCCAGCACAGGAAATCTAACAGGAGCAATGGAAGGAATCTTTCAGCTGAGCCATCTGGGAGATGTTCTTACAGAAAAGCTGCAACCATGAGTTTTCATATTTTTGTTTATATAAATATATATAGAATAGATTTTGGAGGCAGTTTTGAATTCCTCTGCCCATTCTTCTGGGTGCAGAGTTGCTGTGGCGCTAGTGTCTTTCAGAGCTGTCATTTTCAGGAGACTTGCAGGAGCCCCCTCGAGCTGTGGGTTGGGGCTGTGGGGCCTGTCTGGCACTGTGCCCTCAAGAGGGCTGCTTGTTTTCTTTGGTCAGGGAATGGCAGAGCTGAGATTCTGGTGAGAGCTGAGTTTCTAGCCAGGCCCACGTTTTGATCCTGGGAGGTGAGTAATTTGAATTTGTCCTCAGGCTTTCTTGGGTCTGCTTGCTCCCAGCACCAGTGACTAGAGGGTGACACTGGAGTTGTCCTTTGGGAGTCCTGCCTGTCTGGCAGGGAGCAGCTGAAGTCTCCCCCAGGATGGAAAAGGTGTTATGGAGGAAAGGCCTGGCGCTAGCACGGCCCTCCCAGCCATTCCCTGCAGAGGTTGGCATTAACAGCAAGTGTTGGCTGCCTACTCACCAGGCCTGTGCTGGGGCCAGGAGGGTCTGCGAGGAAGGAGAATAGATTAATTTGAAGGATGAGCCCCACTGTTCCAGCATAAGCTCTCAACTCTTTATGACTCTTTACATTTTGGTAAAGGAAGGCTGGAGTCTTTGGGAAGCGAGGACCTTGTACCTGCGTGTTTCAGGTTGGCCCTTTG